AAGGAAAGAGCACCATCGTTGTCTGCAGATGACATGCTTCTATCCTTAGAAACACCAGAAGGCTCAAATGAAAAAACTGTCGAGATTAATGGGGGGTTGTAAAAATTAAGAAATAGACTTAACTGCTTTTCAAAGACTCAAAAAAATTTTAAACAAAATGGAAGTTTTTTTCTCTCTAGTAAAAGTTCAGTCTCTCCTCTGTGGAAGGTCACAGGGGCCCAGGCTCCTTCTATGTTGTTGCTCCTTATCTGTGTAGCTCAGAATGGCCCCTCTAGTCCACGTAACAGGCAACAGAATGCAGAGCAGGGGGGAGGGTGTGAAGGGAAGAAGTGAATTCTCATTCCCTTTAAGAAATAACCTGGAAGTTGCAAATATCATTCTGCTCATATCCCACTCGTCAGAACACAGTCATATGACTACACCCAGCTGCAAAGGGGGTTTGGAATTGTCATCTTTAGCTGAGTAGCCATGAACTCAGTTAAAAATTCTATTGCTGTTTGAGAAGGAGGGATGGGATATTGAGGGATAACTAGCAGCTTCTGCTATGGAAGATTAATAGGGTAGCCAAAAGGAGACAAACAAACAAAATTCAATAGCTTTTTATTATACTAAAAACCAGTAGATAGAAAAAGAAGTGGAAAATATCCCCATTCAAAATAGTGACCAAAACTATATAATATCTAGGAATAAATTTACCCAGGAATTTACAAGGCCTAAATGAAGAGAACATTAGACATATTTTGAAGGAATAAAACAAGGTCTGAATGAAAGACAGAGCATGACCCTGGATGAATTACATGTCCACACTTCTCACGTGAATGTATAAGTTAGTGTAATTCCTATCAAAATCTTAATGGGGGTATTTCCTAAAACTGGCAGAATTGGTTTCAGAAGAGAAAATATCTGAGAGTTACCAAGAAAACATTTAAAAGAAACAAGAGTGAGGGTGAACCACCCTTAGCTAATATAATGATAGCCTACAAATCTATTGTAATGAAACTAACATAGTACTGGCACAGCCATAAAGAAAGTTTATTAGAACAGAAGAGAGAATCTATAAGCAGATCTACATATATGTGAAATTTGATATAAGATAAAGGTCGCATTACAAATTATTGGGAAAGGATGAATTTTTCAATAAATATTAAGACGATTGGCTATCCATTTGGAAGAAATAAAATCAGAATGTTGTATCATACCATATATATTTCACATGATTAGAAGATTTCAATATAAAGGATAAATTATATAAATATTATAAGAAAATATAAAAGAATATGTAAAAAACCAGGAACAGGTTTCTGGAAACTGGAAAGTTATAAGAAAAATAATACTCAGAAACTATAAAAATAATATATTGTTTGAATTTTTTAAATGTTCATATGTAAAAGATACTGTAAATAAAGTCAAAAGACAAACAATAAGCTAGGAGAAAATATCTGCAGTAGATAGAGCAGAGAAAAGGGTAAATACATTGAATAGACAAGGAACTGATTGAAAATTGACGAAGGTTCCAGACAGCGGTTCACAGGGAAACTGAGCACGTGAAAAAGGAGCAGCCTCATCAGCGGTGAGATACCATTTCTCACCACCTGATTTGCCAAAAGTAAAATCATTGATAACAGGCGGTGCTAGTCCAAGTGCAGAGAAATATACACTCTCGTATTCTGTTTATAGCACCATAAATTGTAACTTTTGGGAACATAAACTGCATACTCTTTGACCTAGCAATCCCCCTTTGGGGATTTACCTAGTTAAAATAAAAGTACCAATATGTAAATATATGCTCAAGAATGCTACTGCTGGGTGTTTTAAAATAACGAGACAAACAAACAAGCAAACAGAACTGGAAACAACCTGAATGCCACAATAGGCGGGTTGTTGAATAAAACATGATGTAAACTTACTATGGAATACTTTGCAACTACAGTTCCCTAGTTCCACAGTTCTACAGGTCCACAGTTTCTTATCTGAAACTCTTGGGGCTAGATATGTTTTCATACCTCAAAATTTTTCAGATTTAAAAATATATCTTTGTTAAATAATATGTATCATAGTAATATGAAAATAATATATGTCTAATATATAATAACATTTAAAAATAATATATACTGTATATTATGTAACACCTCCATAGAGGCTCGGGGATGCACCTTGTAATCAAATATATTAATATTTATTTAGCAAAACGTGAATATTCACCCTGAATAGAATAAATAGAACTTTGAAGAGAAGTTTTAGGTTAGGTTTTATCACCAAATAAATTACCAAAAATAATTGATTTTAGAATAGAGGATAAGGCATTGTGGATCTCATAGGTAGACTTGTGTATATTGACTTGGAAAGATGTCTGTGATACCTGGCTAAATGCAAAAGTAACTTTCAGAATGAGCCCTGGAGTCTGATCCCATTATTGTAAGAACAAACCAGAGTCCCAGCATATGTGGATGTGTGTGCACCTAAGGAAAAGGGGGAATAATGGAGGAGCCAGATGAGTCAGTGTGGTTTTCTGGCAGGGAGAGGAGACGTTGCGGAGTTGAAGGAGTGGCTCAAACACGTTTGTATTCTTTGACTCATTATGATGAGCTGGCATTACTTTCATAATGCAAATATTAAATTTTTTTAAGAGGGGAGAAATGAAAGAAAAACCAAATAAAAGCCGTATTTGAAGCATCCAGAATCCACTCCCAGAGGTGGCATGCACTGTGCTTGCAACTGCGCATGTGTGGGGTGCAGGAATGACTAGGGTGTGCACCCACCCTCACATACCTCACAGTCGACAACGGGAATGTGGATTCACTTGTCTGTTAGTATCAGCAATGAGGACTGGGAGGGTGCAGGGGGTGGATTGGCCCTGGCTGGAGAAGATGGGATGGGAGCCACCTTGGAGGAATGCAAACACTTGTAAGAAACTTCCCTATTTCTTGTGTGTCAACTCGCTGTAACCATTTGTTGTGTATTAACCCCCTGACTCCTCCCAACAGCCCTCTGAGATGGGTATTTTGTAATCATCATCCCCATTTTACAGACGAGGAAACCGAGGCCCAGGGAGATTAAGTTATTTGCCTAAGGCCACACAGCCAGTCACAACAAAGCTGAGACCCAAACCAAGGCAGTCTGGCTCAGAGCCTGTGCACCCAACTACTGCTCCACACTGCCTCCCTGCAGATAGGACTGTGGGTAGCTGAATGGGAGGGACACTCGTTCCAGCCCCGGAGGCTAGAGCAGGCTGCGTATGTTCTAGGGACACCACGTGGGTAGAAAGGGTTCCCAGCGGAGGCCTGGCTGGGGGACGTAGGCTTCATCCACGAGCACCCAAAGGGCAGTGCAGATCATCACTGACCGAGCACGTCCCCGCTGCATCTCACCCAGGGGCACTGAACAGAGTGCCGGGAGGGCAGCTTCCTCCCACCTCAGTGCTGGCGTTGAGCCTGAGACCGGGGATCTGCGCGTGAAACCACTGGGGCTCTTGCTCTCCACCGCAGCTGATCCCATCGGGTGCGCCTCTCGCGTGGGTGCGCCTCTCAGCAGGCCTCGCTGCACCTGCTCTGGCAGGTGTCTGTCTGTCCACCTCTGGCAGGTGCCCTCCAAGTCCTCCCAGCGTGGATTTTGTGTGTGCCACTCGCCTATCTAAGTCCCACCATCCCAAACACAACTCTCAGATGTGATGAAAGGCCAAGCATTCTCACAGGATGTGCTGACAAACAAACAGAAGGAAACGTGATGGCATTTATATCTGATATTCAGGGGTCTCGGAGCTGCTTTCTCTCATGTTTCGAATTCCCCAGAGAGCCAGTACTGACCATTCGGGATCCCCCCTCCCTCCCCCTCCTTTCCCTTCTTTTCCTTACTCCTCCTTTACTCCCACATCTCCCTGTCTCCTTCCTTCTTCCCTGTCCCCCTGCCTTCCTTCTCAGGTTTCCTGAACACCTATCTGTGCGTGCACCCAGCCGATCCACGTCCCACCTGCTCCATTACTTCAGGCTGGACAGAAGGTGGTCTCAACCCTCAGCCCCCTCCCCACCAAATTCATCGGGTGCAGTACGCAGGCCCCCACTGACCGCAGCAGACAAACAGCAGAACAGGAGTGTCCTCCCAGCCTGAGAATCCTCTCCTCACACCCCCTCCCCCGCCCCAGCCACTCTGGGTGTTCCTGAGAGGGAGTCTGGGCGGACTGGTCCGTGTACTCGCCAGGAGCCTTCACTGTCTGGTCAGTGCCCCAAGCTATAACGCATAAAATCTCTTCTCATGCCTTCAATATAAGTATATATATTTATTTATAAATAATACGCACCTACCAACAAAAAATTCACATTATAAAACTTGTACATAGAACACACATTTTTTTCACCTCACATATTTATATTTGTAGACATATATTTTTTTGGTGAGAACGTTTAAGTTTAACTCTCTCAGCAAATTTCAGTTATACATTACAGGGTTATCACCCATAGTCACCATGTTTTACGTTAGGTCCTCAGACCTTATTCATCTTATAGCTGAAAGTTTGTGCCCTCCAACCAGCCTCTGCCTATTTGCAACCCCCCTCCAGCCCCTGGCAACCACTTTTCCCTTCTGTGCTTCTATGAGTTTGACTCTTTTTTAGATTCCACATATAAGTGAGACCATGCAGTATTTGTCTTTCTCTGTCTGGCTTATCTTAGTTAGCATAATGCCCTCAAGGTCCATCCATGTTGTTGCAAATGGCAGGATGTCCTTTTCTCTCGTGGCTGAATAATACTCCATCATATATACATACCACGCCTTCTTTATCTGTTTATCCATTGATGGACACAGGTTGTTTCTATTTCTTGGCTACTAGGATAATACTGCAAAAAACAGACATTTTCAAAGTATCAGATAAAATACTACTTTAAGTAGAAGTGCTAGTATTTTTGTCCTGCCCCCCACCTTGTAGACCACAGCTTTAAATCAGACAGAGAAATAACCCAGCTGCCTGCAGCTTTTGCTAACTGGGGTTTCTGTTTCTCTCTCTCCAGGACATGTTCACGTCACAGACTTCAACATAGCAACGATCGTGAAAGGCACAGAAAAGGCTTCCTCCATGGCCGGGACCAAGCCCTACATGGGTGAGTGTTCCGGGCCCCTGTGGGGGGTGTGATCAGGCCCAGTTCTTCTCCTGCTCTGTCCCCACCCCCACACCCACGGCCTACCCTACACCAGGCCCCAGCATGCCCAGGATGTGCAGTGCTCTCTCACACCTTGGGCCTTCACCAAGCTGTCTCCCCTGCCAGGAAGACTGTCTCCTCCTGTGTTTTCTAGAGAACTCCTACCCAGCCAGAAAGCTTGGCTTGGACCTAGAGAAAAACAAACCAACCAACCATTTTTTCTTTTTCTTTAAAGTCCAGTAGTGTGCCAGAATATAACTTTGGTGTTGATCACTGGGGTCTATATTCTTAGGTATACTATATTCAGGTTGCTTTTTCTTTACGACTTTCGATGGAAATATCATTTTTCATAAGCATTCTATTCCTTTCCTTCGACTTTCTTTGTTAAGGATGCCTATTATCTGAATGTTGGATCTTCTTTGCCAATCTTCAGTATTTGTCATTCTTAAGTCTTTCTTATCTCTTCCCTCATTGTTTAAAATGTTTCTCATTTTTCTCTTTCTCTTTCTTTTAAAGCGGTATCTGTTGTGTTTATTTGCTTTATGTTCTTTCTAGTGAAGTATTTATTTCTGCAATAGTTTTCCCTTTATTTCTAACTTTTTTCCTGAGTTCTCTTGCCTGATTTCTGAGTTTTTTAAATTCTAATTTGTGTTGTTCTTTCATGTCTTGTATAATTTTCTCAATGCCTATGCTAGTTATTAATTCTTAACGTCTGTATTAGTTATCAGTTGCTGTGTAGCAAACCACGTCAAAACTTAGTGGCGTAGAACAATAACAAGGTATTATTTCTCACAATTCTGCCATTTGGTGAGGTGGTTCTGCTGGTTTTGGCTGGGCTCACTCTTTCTGCTGGTGGGTCAGCTGGGGGCTGGGCTCAGCCAGGATGGCTGAGGTTAAAGGGCCTCTCTCTATGTGGTCTTTTGTCATCAAGGGGACTAGAGTGAGCTTGCTCACGTGGTGGCGGTAGTTTCAGGAAGGTGAAACCCAGTTCCCACGTGCTTGTCAAGCCTCTGCTTGCTCCATATTTCCTGATGTCCAGTTGGCGAAAGCAAGTCACATGACCAAGACCAGCGACCATGTGGGAGGGGACGGCACAGGGGATGGATACCAGAAGGCTGATTCGTTGGGGAACCATTAATGAAACAGTCCACCACACTATCTTTTAGTTATTTTAAAATAGTAGGTTCCAGTTTTGATCTTTTTTTGGCACTTCTTTCTGGTGTGCTTTCACTGCAAAGTGTTGTTCTGCTCTTATTCTCCCTTCTCTTATAATAACTTTGCATGGAATTTGACTTTGATTCCTTTCTGTTGCTTGTTCTCATGTGAAATTCGTTCTCCTGAACTCTTGGAAGATGGTGTGGTTCAGGGTAGCTTTTCTGACTGAATAGGCTTACGTCTTCTGTTGCTTTTGTGGTGTCCGAATCCGAGGCAGCTTGCTCTCTGGGATTTCTTGGCTCAGTTCCACTTGCCCACCTGTTTTCGGACCTTCTCTTTCTTTTGTCTGTAGAGTCCCTGTCCTGCTCAGTTTTAATTCCACTCCCAACAGTCTCTCCTCGGGATCTTTCCTAGAGGGGAGCTCTGGCTGCCTTGAGTAAAGAGGTTTTGTGTCCCGGGCTGTCCAGCTGCTGCGGAATTCACCAAGGACCCTTTCACTCGCCTGATATTGGACTGGACAAGCCCCTCCCGGCTTCAGCTGCTGTTCTCAGACTGGCCCTCTATGCCTCCCAGGACACGCCTGCTGGCTACTTTGGGGTTCTCTGTTCTCTCGTTCATCATATGCTGCTTTGTTTCTTGCCTGTGTTTCCTTCCGTACAGAAGTTGCTACCGTGGAGCTCTTGTCTCTGTTGGTGGTTTGTTCCCACCCACTTATATTTTGGGGTTTGTGGGGACAACTTAGTTTTGTAGTAAATGCTGCCCATGGTCTTTCGGTTAGCTATGTACCTGCTCTGTCAGTTTGTATGTGTGGATTTGACATCAGTGGTGAGAGTCAGACCCAGGTCAGCGTGAACCCCAGAAGGTACACATGTGAGTGGGTCTGTTCACTTCAGATAGTCCTCTTGGGATGCTGAATACATACCTGAATAAGGCTTTCACTGCTGACAATCTTTCTGAAACCCCTTTCCAGAAGGATCCAGAGCTGGGGCAAGTCTGTCCAAGGAGGTCACTGCCTTAAGATTCAAGATCAAATGGGCAGGAGAATGGGAGTGAAGGAGGTTCTGAGGCCGCCTCCCAGGCTCCAGGTCGTGCGGCGGAGTGGGTTCAGTGGTGTTCTCTGTGTAGGGAACACAGCAAGAGCAGCAGGTGTGTGGGTGGTGGGAGCGATGGGTTTGAACTGATGGGAGTGATGTCTGTGGGGACCTCACAGTAGTCAGGTGTGCTCCGAGCAGCCGGAGAGTGACGTGGACTGGATCTGTGGATGGGGGAGTTCCAGCACTGAGGTGCAGCAAAGCCAAGGCAGTGACTAGATCCCCCGGGGAGGACACCACAGAGAAGAGCCCGGTTCTGAGGCACAGGGAATGCCCTTCCAGAAGGGGCAGGTGGAAGCCGAAGGAGCCGTCATCTCCAGAGGGAGAGCGGGGGAGAGAGGTGACACAAAGGGAAGGCTCTCCCACTTGCAGCCGCCTCCGTGACCCTCTGAATTAGCCCTGACTGCCGCTAGGCTGTGTCCAGAAAGCAAAGTGACCTCCAGGAACGTAGATCCTTGTCACTGGAGAAAGTCCAGACAATACTGCACCAACCCTGATCGTTCTGCCCCCGCTTTGCCACCATGCGTGGCAGACTTTCCAGACACCGCAGAGACTCCCCTCAGGCCTGCCTCAGCCTCGTTCCCCGGCTTCCCACTGATGCCTGAGGCAGCTCTGTCCTGGCTCTCAGCCTCTGGGAAAGCAGACTCAGCTGCCCACTCTCTACACCTTCAAAAGGGAGGAGAAAACCAATGTGTATCGTGACCCTACTGTGTGCCTGTCATTGTATTTAATCCTCAGAAGATCCACGTGAGGTTTCCGCATCTTCCCATTTTATGTATGAGGAACCTGAGGCCCAGAGAGGTTAATTCATCAGCCCAGAGTCACACAGCTGGCAAGCGAAGGAGCCAGAATTCAAAGCCACGTCTATTTGAGTACAAAGTCCATGCTTTTGCGGCTATACCAAGCTGCCTTTTTGACACTGAGTTCCTCCATCATAAAGCTGTATTTCTCAGTCAAGAAAAAGGTTTATTGTCCCAGCTGTACATGGGATTTAGGCCTTCTGATGTCCTTCTAATTAGAGGAGCCTCAGTCCTGAATTACTCAACAAATGCACAGGAGAGATTTTTATGGGATTTAGAGGGCACAACTGATTTACCGAATGGATGTATTATCAGACACTATAGGGGTTGACAGTACCAGGCAGTGGGAGTTTCGTGGGGAAGATGGGCATGAGGGAGAACGCTCTAGATAAAGCCACATCCTGCAGGTCCCAGGGCTGTAAATTCCTGATGTCAAGTGGCAGGTTTGTTGATTTCGTTCACTTGAGCTGTTTGGTTCAAAGACCCAATAACAGGTTCCCAGAACGTTGCAAACACAGATCCAGGGAATGGGCTGATGAGTAAGCTTCCAAAGATTGCTCACGAAGGATGATCTCAGAAGAAACATTTGCATAGAACTGAATTTTCATTAATTAAAAGAGCAGATGGAATTCACAGTAGGAGGAAAAAAATTCTCTCTGAAATGTGCCAGATTAGAAGTCAGAAATGTTCCAGCAGCCACCCAGGGCTTCAGAGTTTATTCATCTGAGGTGAAATGAAGAGCTGAGCATTCATTCAGCAAACATTTACTGAGTGTTTAGGAGGTGAGGGCTCAGAGTCAGGCACTGGGGCCCTGAAGTGAGTCATGTTCTCCAGGGCCTCGGGCTCCCCGTCTAGTGGGGCGGACAGATGTGTGGGCATAGATGTAAACACATCACTGTCAAGACAGATTCCTGGAGACGGTGACAATCTGAGTTAGACTTGAGGGTGTGCTCAGGATTTGCCTTTTGGGTAGGGATAAGAAAGGCCCTTTCAGGCAGAGGCAACAGCCAGTGCAAAGGCACAGAGGTATGGAACAGCCTGGTGTGTTGGGAGGTCCTAGCGGTTCCATTTTTTAATAACTTATAGAACCAGATGAGATGGGGAGGGAGAGATGAGACAGGCCACAGCACGAGGGTCTTGAATGTCGTGGTAAAGGCCTAGGGAATTGGCAGAAATTTCAGTACTGGAGACGGTCATGATCAGACTCACGGGATCGGGCCCCATGTGTGGCCTTGGAGAAGCAAACGGGTCACCAGGCTTGCCAGGAATGGGTCCAGATGAGATGTGGGCTTCAGCATGGGGCAGCTTGGGTGTCTTCCCCTTGGCGGCTGGGTGAGCTTGGCGAACCTCATTACCGGATATAATGCACATGAAGTGCTCAAGCCAGGTGAACACTCAGGAAGCGCTGGCTGCCCGCCACGGGACCTGACGGTTTCCTCCTCTGAGGAATGGGATTAATGATTACACAATCTGCCTTAGCAGATTGTTTGTGAGGATTTAATGACATGACATTGAAAGTACGTAACATATTGCCTGACAAAAGGTAGATGCACAAAATGTGTAGCTGATATTATTATTGTTGTTGTTGTCGTTGTTATTATTTAGACGATTGATTATTTGCTGTAAGATTAGCACTGGGAATCCAGAGCCAAATCTGGCATTCCCCTGCCTATGGAGCTCACAGTCTACTGGGGGAAGCAGACCCTAAACAAACCCTAATTCACTATAGGATCCTGGTCGGCTGCAGGGGTGGTGGCTGCACCGGGGATCGTGGGGCTGGGGCCCTGTCGGTACTCCCCAAATGTCACTTCCCTTCCCCAGGAGGCTGCAGCGAGCAAATAGGAGTGGTTGTGGGGCCCTGTGGTGATGCTTATACTCTTTGTTGAAATGATCGAGGCTGATGAAGTGTCCTGCC